TCTGCAGATATTTGTTTCATAAATGTTTATTGCACTCAGATTATCAACAATACAAACATGGATTTGACTACACAGAGATGTCTGCAATGTGTTCAACACATTTTAAAATTCATAGCCTCCAAACGACAAACCCTGAAGGACGTGGGAGTTTGGTTCATGGACAAAAAAAAATGCAACATAACAAACCAGCAGTATAAATTAATAACACTATGCGAGGAAATTACTCGTCTCCGATGAAATACAAACAAAAACATATTCAGATGAGTCTGACGTTCACCACACTGACACAAGGACACTTGATTTTTCTAGCATTTTATGCGTTTTTATGTCAATGTAAAATGTCTTGGATGTTCTCTAGCAATGACTACTTCTAGTGATCACTTGAATAAAAGTGTAGCACTAAAACAAAGTAATAAACGCTGTTGGCAAGGATGACATGCAGCTGGAACAGTCTCGTAAAATGTATTTGGTGCTGAGATATAGCATGGTCTAACAACAGAACAAATACACCACGTAAAATAGAAAAAGCACAAAGATATGACTGTGTCACACCTGACCTGATACTTCTTTTTTTTTTATCCCCCCCCCTGCCCTCCTAATCTCTTATGTAGAAATATTAAAAACGCTTATTGTTTATGATACAGTTTGATTCTTAGATATGTATATTTGTATGTTTGCTGTTTAATAGGGCTCTAGGTGCAGAGTTAAGGTCAGCTTTGTGAAATTATTTCATTTTAAGGCTGAAACTGACATGCTCTAAAGAGCAAATGTGGATTGGAAGATATGCATTTGCTATTTATGACTTCATGGACAGAGAATATGTTACATACAGTATTGATAAAGGGGATTCAATGATTAACTCGAGTCCCCATATTTAGGCCACTATATATTTTTGATTGATTGTTTAACTGAAGGTGTCTTTTATTGTTATATTACCTGAAAGTATCATCTTCCTCATGCCGCATTTCGACTCAAAAATTCAACAGTTTTACACGATTTAAAAAATAAAAAAAACACGTTGACAGAGACCGGTTTACTGTGAACTAACACGACGCACGAACTAGCAAAACACTGTGTATGGCTGTTGTCGTTACCATATGCACCAACACTTGCGAAGGTTGCAAGTTACCTAACGTTGAATAAAAAAAACCTGAGGGAGACACAGCAACACAGAACCAACAAAAAAAAAAAAAAGTCAACTTTGGGGGATGTGATGCTGGAGTTTTCGCTCGTCGTTATCCTGGCGGTGTTATTCTGAACACGCCTGCCAGCAGTGATCCCTACAAAGACTGCCGAATGCAGGCAGGAGGAAAACGATGGCATGTCTGGAATAAATGTCAGGTTTAAAACTAAATTCGTAAACATTATTCGAGTTACACAAATCTGCTGTGTCGTTACGCTCGTTGTGGTACGGGTGCTATTGAGCGTGCCTGTGAAGGCATCGCAGTTTTCAGCCATTTATAGACGTAGCAGTGGAAATAACAGAGCCTTGAACTTTTAAAAGCCTCCCAAACTTTAAAGGTCATCTGGGACCTTAGGACCCGTTCATAATGGACACAAGTCTGTCTGAGAAACGAGACTAAAAGTAGGAGCTGCTGCGTGGGTCTCGCTAAGTAAAACCGCTCGATACGATATTAATGCTGCAGGTTAAACAAAAAGCAAACAGGAGGGCATGAAGATGTCTGAAATTGAGATGAAATCGATGGCTGGAATATGATCTGCAGCAGAAGACAAGGATTTTATCTTGCTGATTTGAATTCAGCCAGCCTTACACCGTAAAGTGAGGCTGTGGCAGGAACATCACAAGGAGAAGGTTAAATAAAAAAAAAACAACATACAGACAGAAAAGTGTTTGTAGACCAAACTGTGGGTTTTAGTGACCTTTGCTCGGAAAATGTCACTGCAGCCGAAACGGTTTTCTAACATCGTGGCTGACATACGCAGGATTGCTGGGCAGTATTAAGAAACACCAGAAAAAAATGTAGCAGTGTGCTCCATAAGTACCATGAAAAATAATAGCTGCAAAATAAAAATCAGAAACCCTTCTGATTCCATTAACTCAGCTACCCTTAAATAAGCAAACGTATTTAACATCTAACATTAAGATGTTTCCCCGACGACATGAGTAAACAAACATAAATCCACAGAACTCCAGTACATGATCTTATCAGCACTGACTGCCCCATATTTTCTCCCACGGCACATCATGTTGTGATTTTGCAGTTAAACCCTTCTTTTTTCTGTAGATAACTTAATATCCAACATTAAATGTTCCCTGAATGTTACTGAATGCAATTTCAATGAATGCTGGTACTTGGTTACTGTATTGCCAGTAAACTTTAAAGCTGCCAGCTGCATTCAGCAACATCAACGTAAGTCTGTGCTACTAAAACCTAACACTTGGAAACAGTGGCGTGTCGATAATAAAGTGCTTCACAGGCCAAAAGCCTTGGTATGCTTTATTTCATATGCAAATACATGTTCATTTTCAGCTCTTCTTCCTCCCGTTTTTTCTTTTTTTTTTTTTCCTGGTGCAAAGCTGAGCCAAATCAGTGAAAGCCATGCATCAAGCACAGTCAGGCTGAATGGTGGATAAAGCAGCCAATAACAGAGGAAGGAAAATCATCTGTACTTTGTGCCTCAGTAGCTTTGACATGAATGGCTCCTTCTGCTTAGTCCAATATGACAACTTGCCAGTTCCTTTGATCTAAAAATGTTGCAAGGTCTGTCTTACTGTTATGATCCATTAAAATAACCAGATTAAATTTTGAGGTATTAAATCAAAATCCAGTAGGATCCAAACTGAACCTGAACTGATTAAAAACATTCAGTTACGAACTCAATGGAAGCTGGAGTGAAAATAGTCTGGACTGCAGCTAAACTAAAGTGACGAATAACAGTGTGTGTCTTCCTTTTCCAAGCTTCCACACAGAACCACTCAAACATACCTATTAAACCCTCTCAAGCGCATGGGCAATTAGACTGGATTGTTCTTCTAGGAAGTGGAGGAATGCCTCCTCTGAATGTAGGTGTAGACTTTGACACAGTGGTCCCAACAATCCAGCACCAGCAGCTGTCCTTTCTGGGTTGTGGCCACTCCCACGGGGCAGGTCAGCCCCTCCTGGATTAGAATATTGAATCCACCTTCTTTGGGGAACTGGAGAATTTCTTTCCTGCCACTGTCTGTAACCAGCAAATCCCCATTGGCGTCCACACACATGCCAGTGATACAGCGGAAGTCCTCTGTCTCTGAGAAGAAATGGCTGAGCTGCTTGCCGAGCTGGCCGTCGGTACCCACTGACCCGATGGAGAAGCCGCCCTCCAGGTGTGGCTCATTGTGGCGTTTCTCAAAGTTCAGAGCCAGGCCCTGGGTGAAATAAACTGTTCCAGCTGCATCGCACGTCACAAACTTTGGCCGGACAGCAGAGCACAGTCGGTTGTAGCTGACCACGCCGACGTTGCGGTCCACTGCTAGACACCACAGCTTGCCACCTTCCACGTCTGACACCACAAACTGGCCTGATGGCATGGCAGTGATGCCCCAGGGTTTGATCAGCTGGTTCTTGTGGCAAGCCACACAGTGCCCGTCCATGGTGTAGACTTTAACGGAGTTGTCATAGTTGTCAGTGACGCCGATCAGGCCTTGAGGAGTCACAGCGATGGATAAGGGGATGAGGTTAGGAAGGTCAGCGCCGAGGAAGCTCAGGACGAAGTTGTCAATGCTACTGGCATTGCGTCTGATTTCACGTTGGAAACCTTTGCGATTGAAAATCTGGACCCGGTAGTTCCCGCGATCGGCTACCAGTACTTCACCTTGTGCCGTCACGCAGATGCTGACAGGTAAATTGAACATGCCAGGTAAAGTTCCCTTACAGCCCATCTTCTTCACAAACTGGCAGACTGGTGGCCCTGAAGTTGCTCCAGCTGCCCCAGGCGATCCCCCTCCTGCATCCATGGACTTAGACTTAAAGCTGCCTGGTGAACCACACACTGCCTCCTCTACAGCTGTAACCATGTCAATATCTCGGTACAAATCCACTGGAGCCCCCATTGCTCCACCTGTAGCCCCTACTGCTCCGGCTACTCCGTCAACATCACTCTCAAGTGCAATCTCTAACCCACTCTCCTCATCGTCTGTATTGACAGTGTAAGTGTTTGTGGTCACTTGGCCTATTTCTACAGGCTTAGAGTGCTCTGTTTTGACCAGCTCTGGCTCTTGCAGCTGAAACATTGTGGGTAAACTGCTCCTCAGATCAAGCTCCTCATCATCGCTGCTTCCGCCATCATCCTTCAGCAAGGCGATATCGCTCTGCCTCACACGCATGGTCAGATAATCACAGCGTGATACCACTTTTACCTCTGCAATATTAAGGAGATACGTCTGCTCCTCCAGGACTTGTGCATTGAGTTTTTCCACTTCTGCCATGGAAGCTGCGAATGTCCTTCGAGATCTGGTGAGCTCCTCTTGAAGACGTAGCTCAGCTGTGGTGTAGTCCTGCTGAACTGCTCGGTACTTTAGCCTCAAGGACTTGGTAATGTTTTCAATCGCTGATTTCTTCTTCTGAATTTCTTCGATGACATCACGGAGAGCAGCCAGTTTACCACCCAGTTCTTTACGACGCTGCTCGGCTGCCAACCTTATCGGCTGGACTGAATGGCCCTGATGCAGGTGATCCTCCATTTTACAGAGCTCACAGAGAACTGTGGCGCAGTCGTGGCAGTACTGTCGTGGCAGGCGGTTGCAGCAGGACTTGCACATTAGAGCAGCAGCAGCAGCACTGCAGGATATAGTGCAATCTAAAATCTTGAGCACGGTGAGATTATCAGCCAGCTGGGAAATGCTGCTCATTCGGGACACTTTGCTACAGAAGGGACAGCGGACGCCGTTGATGGTATTAGCCAGCAGCTTCTCCAGACACTGCCTGCACACTGTGTGACCACACTGCAGGAGTTTGGGTCTCATTTGCTCCTGGTTGTAGGTCTCCAGGCAGATGGGGCATTCCAGAACCTCTCTCATTAGATCTGGGTCTAGTGGGGGGGATGCAGCCGCCATTATGGTCCTGGAGTGGGGAGAAGGAAGGGAAAGAAAGACAAGTTTTGTAATACTTAACCATTCTGTGTGAGAGTCAAGTATGTCACGCGACTGAGGCGAGAATTTGAGCATCACCACCATCATGATCAGTTTGTTATGCTTCACAGTTCAGTGTTATAGTGGGCGCAGCAGAGTGGCGACTCATGATCAAATTACTCAAGACAGACGCTCATCTGATGCAGTAGCTGTCACCGCAATGACATTGCAATGAATCTGACGGTAGTAAACCAGTTTGAGGCTCATTTGCGGGGCAAAGTATGAGGAGAGCTGTCACTAGCACAGCAAGCTAGTGTGTTTCAAATTAGCTAGTTGGTAGCTCACGTGAACGCAAGGAGAAACGGACGACAAGTCTACAGGACGTGTTATTCCCAATGGCAAAGATCAAATTAGTCACAACTGACTGCACTGACAACGACAATAAGCTTCCGATTTGAGGTGACAACGGTAGATGAGCTAACAGACGAGTGCTGTTTAGCTAGTATCGGTGTTGCTGCAGGTGAGCTAACTGACACACGATCGTGCCATGCAATGATAATGACGAGCAATGTGATAAGCCAGCGCATTAGCTCACACCTAACGGCACTACCATGCTCTCTGGTTGCTTTAACACGGGTTGACATTGCAGTTCAGACTCACAAACGACAAGTAAATCGGAAGGCCTCCGCACAAAACAACACATTTTAACGCGACAGTGTTATTTACCAGCATGACTGGGCTCGTTTTGAAGGACGTGCATTCAAAAAATAAGCAATGCAACTCCTCTTAATGTTTCTCTTTTGACTTTTTTTCCCTTCCTTTTTTGCCTTAGAACATTACCTTTTCCTCTGTGTTTGCTGGTTGAGAGTATCGAGGTTTTGGTGGGCGTGCTGCCGTCTCTGCTACTGCAGCTGCTAGTGAAAGACTGCAGTGTTGACGACTTCACGTACGTCGTGACGTGTTACGCACGGCGGCGAGGCTGAGCGCTGCTCTGATTGGCTGATGGGCGGGTTCGCACGTCACGTTAGGTTCCGCCAAGGTCCTGCAGATCCACCACACTTCCATGCGATGTGCTCAAGGTGTTGTGCCGAAAAAAGTGAGTTAGGAGCGATCGTCTGCCTGTTTTTGCGTTATTTTACCTGCTTTGTTCCTTAGACTTAACCCATATAGTTGCTTTTCCTGGTTGACATAGCTTTAATTCAATTTAATTCAATTCAAATAATTTTATCTCTTAGGGGCAATTCAAAAGCTCACTGAGTATTTAATATCAAGACAACTGAAATAATAACAATAATATTAGATATAATTAAATTAAATTACATTTAAAAAATAAATAAACCACATCAGAAATATTATATTATATTACATTGGCATTGGCAGGGAGTCATGGGTCAAAGATGGTTGTTCATTAAGAAGGAAATTTAAGTACCAACTCAACACATAAAATGCAGTTCTCCACCTGTCATGAAGTAGTGAAGCTTCTACACCATGACTGAAGTGTTATAATTGCATCAAAATGACTTAATTTCATTCATGAGGGTGATATTTTAAAAAGTTTCAGCCCATGGAATAATTGCAAAATGTATAATCTATTTCATTTTCTTTATAAAATCCACCTCACCCATCAAATTGTAGTAAACACTGTCTAGACAAACACTTACAGCCTGAACATCAGAAACTAGATTGCTTATAATTATCCTTAAGTCATGCTGTATTAGATAATAAACTGCAAACTTCTTTTTTTAAAAACAATTATTCACTTGAATTTTGCAATTTAACAAAGGCACACTTTTTCTGTCACCACCATATAAAGTTATGTGTATTTGCATGTTATAACTGTTTAAACCAGATAAAAGCAGCTCTAGACTATGTAAACTATACAATACACCTTTAAAAATCTGTTTTGGCCTACATTTGTCACAATAACTGTTGGGATGTAGTTCATGAAATTTCATCTGTGACTGAATTTTATTTACCTTATTTCCAACTTTCTTTATTAACAAATGGCAAATTGAATCCTGTTGATTTACATACACAGTATTAAAGTTGGACAGTTCCCCCATCAATACTTCATTTTCTTCAATATTAAATAAATACACTAACGTTCCCTAAAAGGAACAACTTGCCATGTTTTCGCAGGAGGACATATTATTCGTTACACCTACCCTGCAAAGAACAAGTAAACAAACTAGAACCTGAAGTTGTGCAGCTGCCTTTAAAAATATCCAGATGTTGTGAAAATGCTCGTTGGCAGTAATTATAGAGAACAACCACTAGATGTCAGAATAAGTCTGCGAGAAAATGATCATGCCGGCACATAAAGTGAGTGAAGGGCCGTATAATATAGAAATAAATGAAACATTTATGTGTGGAATATTGCACTTTTTATTTGATTTGATTTAATTAGATTTTTATAGCACCTTTAAAAACAAGAATTTACAAAGTGCAGGATGCCCAGAAGGCAAAAATAACAACAAGACAGTAAAGCTAAACAAAGAAAGGCAATTAAGGTGAAAAAGTTAAAACAAGAAGAGGACATATAAGAAAAAGTACAAAATGCAATATTACCTTGAAAAGCAATAAAAAAGATCACATAAAAGCAAATCTATCAAAATGGGGTTTGAGCAGTGATTTAAAAGAATCCATTGATTGTGCGAGGCTTATCTCCTCGGGCAGGTCCTTCCTAAGGGCCTCGATGGCAGCGGCACAGTCACCTTTAGATTTAAGCATCAACCTTGGAACAGCCAGAAAGGCCCCCTCCACCTCTGAGGATCTGAGACTGTGAGCTGGTTCATACGGGGTCGACGTTTCTGCTGGGTAGTTTTTGGGCCAGAAACCAGACCGGAGTTAAAAGCGATCAGTAAAATCATAAAATCAATTCGGAAACAAACAGGGGAGCCAACGGGGAGAAGATTGGATTGGGGGTGATGTGATGTCGTCAGCGAAAACCCATCAAGAAGCTGAGCTGCTGCAGTCTGAACTAAAATGGTCGGAGGGGAGGGAGTGACTGTTGGTTAATGTCAGACAGGAGGAAGATAGAGTAGTCAAGCCTGGAGAAAATAAACAGATGGAGATGGTTCTTGGAAGGAAGCTGGACTGGTCAACTTTTGTCATCTGTGGTTCAAAGCTTAGAATCAAATAGTGCTCTCAAATTAAAGGCAACAGGTTTCACATGAACACACAAGGAAGTGCTCCGATTGAGATTTGATTGGGTTTGGAGGACTGAATAATATCCATCCATCTATTATCTATACACTGCTTAATCCTCACTAGGGTCGTGGGGGACTGGAGTCTATCCCAGCTGACTCAGGGTGAAGGCAGGGGATACCCTGGACAGGTAACCAGTCTATCACAGGGCTACAGTTAGAGACAGACAACCAAGCACACTGGACTAAATAATAGGATTTCTGATTTTAAGTTATTGAGCTGAAGAGGATTTTGTGCTACCCTACATCTGACATTAACAATCTAAAACAACAGCTAGGCTTTCTGGATCATCAGGTATCAGAGGAAGGTACAATATAAGGGTGTTAGTCATCTTATAATGTTGATTTAATAAATGTTATTGTGTGCTATTTACAGGCCAGTGAAGCATAAACGCTGTCACACCATTAGCTTATAACAAGAGGCAAATTCTGTCCAAATTAACAGAGTATATGATCAGTTATTTTACTAAAGCAGTAACTTCACTTCTCATACAAACAATATTTAACAACATCTGTATTAAATTGCGTGACACCTGATCCTTTTGTTGTTGTTGTTTCATGAGCAGCATAACTCTGGGCAAAAAGGGTTGTAATAAGTAATTATGCTGCAAACAGTGTACAAAGACATTCAAAGGCTAGTAAGTTCCCTCCATTTATATCTTTACTATAATGGATGACAGCAAGTGTTACATAAGGATCACATTAATTCCACAAAGCAAACAGTTGTCACAGTTTATAAAGTGGCAAAGTGACGGGCCACTCCTTTAACTGCATGTGGTTCAGTGTAATTTGTCTTAATGTCGGTGAAGGGTGTCACCATTGGTCAAATTTAAGTGAAACTGCAAAGTACACAAACACAAATAAACAGACCTGCATAGCACTTCAGTGATCGCGGAAGGGAAATGCACTTTGCAGCTCAAACCGACTTACAGTAAAGGCATTTTAAGAAAGCGCAAAGAAGCTATCAAGATCGAGAATACATTTAAAATAAAGTTGAGAAAACAAGATTTTCCACAAGATACCTTTATTGTTGGGTAACTCTGATGGTCACTCTTGCTTCTTCACTTGACGGTGCCAAATCCAGAATGAAATGGAGTCATTTAGATTGACGTAAACAATTGTACTGTGGGGCGAAAAGGAGTTAAAGGCGGCAGGAGTGAAGTAGATTGGCTATTGCGGCGGCCAACCTGAGGGATTTATTGTCAGAGGTGGGTGACAACAGCTCTTTTCTCTGTCTGTGTTGTCTCAAGAAGTGAATGTAATTGGGCTCTTGGGCCACCCCTTGAGCCTGTTTACATTGTGTCGCACATGAAGTTACCACCCACCCTTTCAACTGCTTGCCAGTGTTGTGCAAAGGCACATAGGGAGTAAGTCAAGAAGACGTACATACACGGACTCTTAGACACACAAAATCATGGCTACCACTGAGGACATAAGGGTCGTGTCCTTGATGGTTTCTCAGGGAATTTAGTAGTTCCAGTAATCTGAGGCACAGTTTGTATTCAGTCATCATTTAGGAAGGTTTTGATCAGCTGTCCTCCTTCGTACTGTCTTAATAGAATCTCCTCTGGAAACTCCTGTGTGGTGAATTTTCCTTCTGACTGTGGAAGTCAGGTGTTGTTAAAACTTTGTTGTTTAATCTAAACTGTTAGTTAGTTCAAGGCAACTTTACTTTTACCATCCCATTTCTTTTGTCTTTTTAAACAGCATGTTCAGTAATAATATGATTTACGCTTGTTATTTTATTATTACAATGTCAGTGTTGTAACATTAAAAGCTTTTTGCAGCTGTAAATTGGATATATTTACAGTCAGTAATTTTTCGGCACCACAAACAACCCTCAGGAGTCTTTAATAGACAACTTATTAAAAGTTAAAATTCCAAAATGACACAATTTATCAAAGCCAGAAACTGTAAAAACAAGAAGAAAAAAAAGAAAAGAAAAATAATTTGTCAGACTTTTAACTTTTTGACAGTCCTTGAACTAATCACGTGATTTGTGGTTCCATCTGAAAAATAATTAACCAAATATACAGTTAAATTTGTGATACTACATCAGTACAGCTGTACTTTACACGTCTCATTTAAACATTTGCCAATAATAGACCATTTGCAGTCACCAGATCCTGTAGAACAATGATTAAATAAATAAATACATTCTTAAAAATTCAGTGTCCATTCACTCAAACATGAAGCCATCACTGATTCACTTGTGACCAACAGTTAGGTGACCAAAATTGGGGAACTTTTCAGCTGAGCTTGACTGAACTACAGCTTATGTTTACAAAGAAAGGAGACAAGTATGGAATCAAATTGAACATATATGTAGTAATAGCCACCATTTTTCCCAGTATTGGTCACTCCTGTGGGCACTTGGAAAAATGTTGTGCACGTTGAATTCAGGCTTTTCAATTTTTATTAAATAAATACTCAAAGAAATTCAACCTGCGAGTTCTCTCTACATCTTGTTTGTGCCATTTAGGTGCAGGACTTTACAGTTAAATATAAGCCCACAGTGAAGAAAAATGTGACAGGGGTTAAAAATGCATGAAAAAAACGCCTTGGGTTTAGAAGGTGAAGACATTTGGCCTCTATTACTTCAATCTGTGATTGAAATGTCACGTAAATTTACCACCTATGTTTTTGTTCCCTAGCAAATAAAAATAGTTTAAACTAACCTTGGAAACCTCCCCACCTCTAGTAATTCTGCAGCATATTTTTGCATTTGACAATTTAAGAGATTCGAGTTTTTGTGTCGTCACTTCACAATGTTAATAATAACGGAGACCTAAAATAGAAGTCCAATTGCTTTTTGATGAGCTCCCAGGATTAACATGACCTTAACGACTGGGAATCTGCACAGAAATAAAGAAGACTGTGAAAAAAAAAAGATTTATATGTTATTTTATTTTATTTCATTTTATGTGTTGTCCTTTTTCTCCCGAGAACAGTTTGATCGATGATGTTAGATTCTACTGTTATTAAAACTGTCAGCGGGAAATAACTCATTTGAATCACGCTGATCCATGAAGATGTGTGGATTCCATTTAGAACATTTATCGGAACCGATGGCGTGTTTTTCTTTCGCGCAACAAAGATTCAGCAATTTGCATTTTGTGTAGATTATTCGATTCCTTGCACTGATTGTTTTAAACTTCAACACAGGGGTCTCATTCTGCAGATTCTCATAGACCGTGGTTTCTTTACATTTCGTAGCACACGCTGATAACGCATCACTTCTCTATTTTGCGTCATAAACCAAACTCCACATTTGTGTCTCCTGTTCTTAAACAGAGCTCATCTGCCACATCAGCACAGATGGCAGATCTGCTCCACGGTAACATGTGGCCAGATTTGTCCTCCAAACACCCCAAGTAGCAATCTCTCCTGGTTCTCCTCCTCCTCTTGCTTCTGTCGCTGCCTCTTCTTTCCGCATGGTGTGTTATTTTCTCGCTTAAAGAGGAAGTGATGAAAAAGAATCCCCCCCCCCCAACTTCGGCGAGAACATCAAACAGTGGTAATTTACACTCAGGAGGAGAAGCCAGTCACACCCCCTCCCTCCTCCCTTCCATTCTTCCTTTGTCTATGAACGCTGATGGCAATGAGGGATTAGTTGTTGTTATTTCTCTTTTTCTGTTTTTTTTATTTTTTCCCCTAACTGGCAAGTAATTCCAGATGCTGATGCAGATGCAGCTGGCGTATTGTGAATCTTCTTTTGGTACACCAAGTGAATTCTTGAAAGAAATATGAGAGAGTTCAAGAAAAGGGGATTGTTTTAATAATCAGGACACATAAAAGTAAAATAAATTTATGATTTGACCACCCGCCCCCATCCTTATGTAAATGAATGAAAATCATTGTTGTTGTTGTTGTTGTTGACTGTTTATCGTCATCCCCTCCCACGTATCGTCCCTTCACTCCGCTGCCTACCCCTTTCAGAGGCGACAGACCAGGGAGTTGGCGGAGGTGGGCGGCGTGAGCTGAAGTCAGTCCCCTTCATCAGCTACCTGTCGGCGCTGCAGAAGAGCCAGCTGTTGTCTGATGACATGGTGAATGGCGTGGAGATCCGCTGCGAGGAGAAGGGCAGCTGTCCAGCTGGCTGCCACCTGTGCCACCACCAGGCCGTGATGGGGGGAGTGTCAGGCAGAGGCCACAGTGGTAACAGCAGGAGCGGAGAGCAGCCTTCCCCCATCCCCGTTCTGCTGGAAGTCAGCCGCATCGTGCCCCTTTACAGCCTGGTCCAAGACAACGTCACCAAAGAGGTGAGGGAGCAGCGTGGGAGTAGCAACTGTGTGTGTGTGTGTGTGTGAGTGTTTGTGTGCACGTGCCTGCGGATGATGATGTGTGTGAAGGGAGAGGGGCAGGCTTAGGAAGTGACCAATGAATGTCAGAGGGAAACAAGTGAAGAGATGTGATGCATCAACATAAGCACTGGAAGCAACAATAACACACATTCAGGAATAACCTTTTTTTTATCATCAGGTGTATTTTTTAAAGAAAAACTCAATGATATGCTTCAATTCTTGATTTCTTTTTCATTCTGACATTTTATGAATGGGTCTTTTGTATGATATAACCTACAACAACTCAAGTTTGCATGTAATCACTGTGACATCTGCAATCAAAAGCTACAACTTTGAACCCTGTCTTCTGCAAGTTTAGGGGCATGTATATCACTGTTTAGTACGTCTTAATCCTATACAATCCGTCGCCATGTGATGGTGGCGTAATCCTTTCACTCTGTACAAATTCATTGTCCTCTGAAGCGTCTAAGCGATGCAGTTGCGACCGCTCGCCCCTAGGTGGCATGAGTTGGTTAACTTTGACCACGGCAAACGAGCACTGTAATACAGAGGGCATAAAAAAGATGACATCATGGTTTTCTCTTGTGGGGTAGTCGATGTGTATATGTGTGAGATATATTTGTGTGTGTGTGTCTAAACAAGCATACACAGCTGAATGTAATATCAGCCTAATGGCCACATACTGTGTTTATGATTCATCCTGTATGAGGAGTCTTTGGATCTTTTTGCAGTCAAAGTTAATCATATCAGATTTCTTTTCCATAAGCTAATTTAGGAGGGGGCTCTGGCTTCTCTTGACATTTACTTGACCACATTCTGCTGTGTTTGAGCTTCCTCCTGACATTGTCTCGCTACCTAAGATCTGGCGCATGTGGTCTGTTGCTGAAGCAAACGCAGAGGTGTTTGCAGGTGACTCACACCCAGCAGACACGTATGCAAGCACGGCTGACATAGCGAGCAGACTGGTTCATGCTCCCTCTAATCAAGCATCTAATTACCTTACCTTCTGAAATTACGCTCGTGTCTGTGTGTGTGTGTGTGTGTGTGTGTGTGTCTGTGTGTGTGTGTGTATATATATATATATATGCACTCATGGTCACACATACACAACATTGTACGTGCCTCCCATAACAAGCACCACAGTCCCAAAGAAAAGAAGGCACAATCAATAGCAGACGGCCCCTAGTGGGCCTCATCAATACCTAAACGTGAGGAAGAGCAAAATGTCTCTTTTCCCTCTCTTTCCAAACACCTCGCTATCCATTCCTTTTCTCTCCCTCTACCCACCCCTGGTCTTCTGGGGATGTAGAGAGTGAGATGTATGAGGAGGAGGAAAAGGGGTAGACTGCAGTGGATCGCTCTGGCAAGCCCATCTGAGGTAGCTTGAGGCAGGATTATTAGCTTCTTATTGATGTCATCGACCTCTTGGGAGGGAGGGGAGTCCATCACTCTGCTCCTCTTTTCCTCGCTTTCTCTTCTTCTCTTGGCCACAGCTGCTGCTAGTCAAAATGGCACATACGTATATTGCATTAAAGACGAGCGACAACCTGCTCCTCCACACGCACAACCGCTCCCTCCCTCGATCTCTCTCCGTCTTTATGTGTGTGTCTGTCTCTCTCACACACACAATTTTTTGCTTGAGACTATCTTTCTACTTGGCTGGGTCTATCAGGAAAGACAGCTGCCATGTTGCAAAAGCTTTCTCCGAGATGAGGTCCTTTTTCTTTTACCTTAAACCCGCGGAACCAATCAGAATAGAGTCTTAGTTGTCCGGTTTATGATTATGGTGGGCTGAGATCATATCTGGATGTGCATACCTGCGTGGATGCTGTGTGTGCCCACTACCTGGCTGCCACACATCTATCACTCTCTTACCTCCCTCCTGTTCTAAGCCATACCTGCATCTTTCAGTGACCTCCCCCTCTGGCTGCCTGACTGTTTGACAGGACATGTCTTGTTCCTTTCACATCTATCACATGTCAAGCCAGAGGGGGATTTGGTAACAGTGCGAAATTACCCCGTGAAGACCACGAAAACAGAATTAAGTGGTACAAACAGTGGACTGGCTTCCTTCTTCTTAGCTTTCTCTGTACAGCTCTGTCAAAGAGGAGAATGGGGTATAGAGTACTTCTTTGTACATGACTGACATGAGCAATGACGAGTTAAGAATTTGAGGAAACTAATACCTTTAAGACTGATCCGATCAGTCAATACTGAATAATTGCCTGTCAATTTGGTACCACCAAATAGAAAGAAATACATACAGTCTGACTTTATCTGTCATAAAGTTTATATCATACTCCATTCCCCTCCGTTGTGTTTTTATGTACTGTTTATCCAAAAATCTGAGCAAATGCATCTTTGTTTTAATTCCTTCCCTGTAATACAAACTGAATTTCATTTCACAAGTTCTGTGTAGAAAATAGTTTCAAAACTTGCTTATAGGTAAATTTATAGCTCCTTCATACTGGCTGCAAGAAATGTCACGATTATGTTTTACATTTGGGAGGATACTTTTGAGGTTTACTCCCTCTGTGTCTTAGCAGTAAATACTTCTTAACTTGTCTCTGTTCTCTGGCTTGCCATGATTTAAACCTGGTCTTGACTTGAATTCGACTGGAACCAGTCTTGGAATTGGATTGGACTTGACTAAGGTGGTCTTGCTTTCGGCCCTGATGGGTGCACGCAAGTACACACACACACACACACACACACACACACAGACTCCCACAGACTGTTTCAGTGCCCGAGAAAAATACCTCAGTGGATAAATAAATAAGCTTGTGCCTGTGGTGCCTGCCAGTAGTCCTATGTCCTGTGTTGCTGTGACTGAATTATGGCAAACCTTTTGAACAAATTGGTTGTGAGTCTAATGGGACAGAATGCTCTATATCTTGCAGAGTGGTCGCTGTCATGCTCTTGCTGTAACCCAATACCGCAGCCCCTCGTGGGGGGGCGTGTCTCCAACATATTCAGCCGGGTAGATGGGAGGTGGCAGGTTCAACATGAAGGTAGCAGCATCACGTACAAGAGGAGGGATAGAAGTAGGGAGAAAGAGTCAGATGGTCCATGTGGAAGATAGCAACATTTTAGCCTAAAGTAACTGGATAGATACACATCAGATAATAAAAAATAATCATCCCATTTGTTACTTTGTGGAAGATACTTTACAATAAATGACTGCTTGAGATCTTCAACCCGTTAACACCATGAGACGTTTTCTGTCTTCATTGGTCCTCTCCAACGAAGCTCTTGCTTGTTGTGGAGCCTCTAAGCCTTTAGTCCTCAGCAGGTGGAAGGCAGGTTAACAGCATTGAGCTACGGTGACTGATTTGGCCAGTCAAGAGGGTGTTGGATCATCGTCCTGCTGAATGATGAAATACCGTCCAATGAGTTTTGAAGCATTTGGCTGACTGTGAGCACTCAGAAGGCTCCTGTATAGGTGCCAGTTCCATTGGCAGCCATACATGCCCGGGCCATAGCAGAACCACCATCCTGTTTGAATGATGAGGTGGCGGGTTGAGCTTTCTCCACACTTAGCTCTTAAGAAAGTTTTTTTTTTTTGTTTCACTCTATAGAACTTTGCTTCCAAACTCTACTGGTTTCCTTCAGTATGCTAACTGCAACCTGGTCGTTCTGTGGTTGAGCCTTACCAGAAGTTTGTATCTTGCGCTGAATCCTCTGAGGTTTTGGTTATGAAGTCTGCTCTCAGTCATTCACAAGGAGACGTGCATCTGCTTCCCAGAGACATTCTTGACTTGTTGTCTAGAGCAAGTATAGAGGGTGTTTTCTTCACCATGCATTAAGAAGAAGAAAGTCATTTTCTGCTTTTTCCTTGTGCAAATCAGTCGTGCCAACCTTGTCGTTTTTGCAGACCAACTGCCTTTATCACAGCTGACAGATTCCTGGCATTGAAATGTTTCATTTTTAACCCTCTTTAGTTTACGTTCCTCACTTGCATTGTAATATCTTTACATGGGCATACAACTCTGCTTTAATCTAGATGGAAACTCTGTTGAGTTCTAAGTCACATATGAGCGCTTTTCTGCTCGAACTAATAGCAAAATGATGCAGAAACCTTTAGTAGCAAAGTGTCCAATTACTTTTGAACCCTTGCAATTTGGGAATTACGTGTTAAAAGGGCTGTATTTCAAACACTGTTATTTCAGTATTGATGTAAACCTACTCGAGCTAAACCTGAGACTCACAGTCTAATGCACAAATAGAGTTTTGTTTCGGGGAACATAGCTTCAGTACCAAGGAGAGTGCTCCTATACAGTAGATCATTAAACAGATTCATAAAAGCTCTATGTGGCCAGTATATATTATGTTCCTGTCAACACCCAGTAAGCATTAATTACATCAGCAGTAGTGTAGATTTGGCCTTTAGGCTACAGACAAAACTGTTTAACAGATAAATTGACCACCCTGACAAGTCTTAGAAAGACCCAACTGAACCGGCCCTAACAATACTTTAGAGCTCATCTGGCTTATGTGCTCTGACGATGAATAGTTCAAAGTAGCATTGATAATTAAAGGACAAGCTTGCAGCTTTTCAAGTCTCTCTTAAACATTGGAACCAGCTTTGCTTTTTGTAATCGTCACGCTTGTCATTGAGAGATACATTCCCAGTGTGCTTCCAATGTAGTGGGAAATATGTTCTGTAAGCTTTTATACTGAAAAGCCTGTTGATCTGGTTGATTTGCTCAACACAGACTGCTGAAGACTCATACTAGCCCTAAATAAATCAGAATGTTTTCTTTTTTAAACATAGAACAAGGACAATATGTTTTGTCTAAATAACAGACCGTTGGACACAAAAAAAAAGATCGCGTGCACGCAAGCTGTTTCCTTCGATTCATCAAAAATAATTAAACCCTTAAGTGCATAAGAAAATAAAAACACAATTCATAATTCAAGATTTAGCTGTCTTTGGTTTTAAATCACACAATAACTTCTTCCCTTTGTTTTCTCCCTCGTTTCTGTTGGCTTTCTTTAGCTGTTGAGCCACATTGTTGTTTTGTAACACAAAGTAAGATAGCAGACCATCCATTCATTTGCCATGCTTGATGGGTCAGATTGGCCGATATAGCCGTCAGACCGAGGTGGTACACAACAAACGCTGCCCCACATAGTGTTTGAGGGTTCTTGAATGACATGGCAATCCCCCATCAACCTCTGGGTGAACCAACCCTCAAACTGCCCCTAGTGTCCCATTTCCTGGAAGTACTACCTCTGACAAGGTTCCTAGAAGCAGCCCATTGGTTCCTTTGTTAACACCATTAGCCTTGAATGATTGGAAAGGCCACATAAATGCGTTGATGCGCATGCACACACAGACACGCACACACATACACAGACGCACACACTTAGGACACCATGATGGTGTGCTGTGTGTGCTGACTTAGACTCTTTACCACCACTGGTGATTATCTTATAAATCAATACTGTGGGCCAGCTGGCCAGTGTTTTTGTGTATTAGCCTCTGAATACGGACAGTAATATGGTCAGCGTAGACTAGACAAACAGATTAATACATTAAAGAGGTCACAATGGCCTCCCTTGCCTTCTTGTAAGTCACGACAGGCTTCAACGAAAGTGAAAGGTCCAAATTGTGTTTTGGTGCCAGTGAGTCTGCAAGGTCTAAATGACGTCAAGGCCTGGAATTTGTGGCTGGAGTTGTTGCTGATGCTCAGTGGCCTTGCCATCCGCTGGTCTTTCTTGTCTTCTGTTCAAAGCAGGCAGTGATTACATTTCAGCTCAATTCGTTCAGTATCGATAAGGTCAGTGGAGATGAATTGTGGCATATTTGTGAAACGGTAGAACCATGTGTTATTGTAACAGTAGGGGCATCACCAGTTCCTGAAAGCAAATCCGTCACGAGTGCACAGAAGCTGTCTTACACTGTTACAGTCAGTGCTCAGACAGGAGCGTCTTTGTCAAAACACTTGCTTTTCTAATATGAAGCCTAATGGATACGGTTTGTTCCCGACCCATATCTGGTCAACACAGAATGTGTATGGATTTGTAGTGTTCTGGGAAATGCACGATCTGTGGTTAATCAATAAAGGATAGAGTAGCCTCCTCTTGTCAAGTGTGACGTATTTAGTAACTGCACTGAGCATAGAGGTAGTCTGACCTAGGCCTTTCAGTGTTGTGTTCATCCTAGTAAAAGATTTTCCTGACTGACCCACTCCTTTTTTTTTCTCTCTCTCTCTCTCATGCACCCACAAGACTTACTGCTGTCTTCGCCGCCACACACTTGACATATTATCACTTTGCATGTATTAGCTAACTATCACTTTTTCTTGCCTTTCTGTAAATCCTCATCTCTGTTTTACCTCCTGTGCCCTCCACCCAGCTCCCCACCTCATTCCCTAAACCACAATTAGATTCCCTGTTTACCCAGTGGAGACTGGCTTGCATTACTCTTCAAACATAAACACGGTGGTAATCGCTTTGTCTGTTTTTCACATGTGCAGCCATGCAATCAAGCGCACAGACCCATATGGGGTTTTCCTAGGAATCTGGTGGTGGTAAACGCATGGCGGTCCTGTGGTCTTTCTCTCTTTCGCCCCTGGTATCGGAAGTCATTTCTCATATTTGTCTAGTCTGTGTGCGTGCATATACCTTGAGTCCAGGTTTTTTCGTGTTGCCTTTGTCTGTGGCCTGCTTCCCATTGACATGAGGTGGCAAGACTCCTGCTGCTGTTGTTTTCTGGCAGCAGTTAGCCACATGGGTTCAGGCAAGGAGGGAGAAACATAATAACCTTTTTGGTTTTCCAGGGGGTTATTATATGGCCATGGATTACAGTGCTTGCCTACCCCCTATAATAACTGCTCATTCAGCAGGCTCATTTAGAGGGGTTTGTATTGGAGGATATATAATGAGAAAGTCTTGCCTGCTGAGGGATCCATTCCCCGGTAAAGTGGGGGAATGCTTTGAGAGTCGGAAGTCTCCTTTTTCACACCTTTGTTTCCTTGTTCGTCTTGTTGATTTTTTACTGTCCTATTTTCTTTGGTCTCTCATGTCTCAGTGTCTTTTTTTTCCCCCCCTCACTCTTTCCTCTGCTGCTCATTTAGGTCACTTGCACTCTCAAGGTACTTTGCCTTGAGTGAACGCAAGCGGTATTGGAGGAAGTCAGTTCCCATGAAAGTCTGTTGAGCCTCCTTTACAGCTAACAATGCAGTGTTGTGGAAATGCTAACATCAGCTTCTGAGTGCATACCCTGACTCTTTTTTGGCTAAGCTGTCTGCCTTTCTGGTCAGGACTACGACCAAAGTCATCTCAAATGTCACTTCCACTAATCAACACACTGCAGAAATTTTCTTTGGCATTTCTCCAGCGAAATGAAACAGCCAAGTGTGGAAACCAATCATTAATTGGAGTTTGTGTGCGCGCGGTTGTATGTACCCATGTGTACGTACTGCATGTGCGCAGTTGTCTTCGAGACGTGTGTGGTCTCATCAGTTGCTTTGCTTTCGGATAAGTGAAAGTCATAGTGTATTGGAACAAAGGAGTGGCTCCTCTCTGCTTTTTGTTGGATGCCTGGTACCCAATGATAATGTTTCCGCATGGTTCCAGTGTCCTATTTTTGTGACCATGATCAAGCACATCTCCAAAGTAGTCTGCATGAGGCAGCAGCACTGCCAACCAGTTAGAGCACATAAATAACTGAGTGCTCCATTGATCCGTAGTGTGACAGGGGGAGCCAGAGTGCTCGCGAACTCCCTTGAACTCGCTCTCTATCATGCCTGTGGCTTTAGGGAAAGCCCTGACATTATACTTTATTGCTTTGACGGTTATATTGGCATTTTGCTGCCTTTTAGAGGATGACTGAGCTTCTGCCTTTGATTTTTTTCTTTCACCCGTTAATGAAGTAGCACAAGGAGATGTTAGGAGATGATGTCACCTCTTAATATCTCACTACCCGCCCCCCTCCATCCGCTTCACAGTCCGAACGACAGCGACACCGGCAGATCTCACAAACATACACATAGAAGGAGGGGAGGCGGGGAGTGTCGCAGCTTTCACACTTCTATCATAAAAGTCACAGTGCATCTACGATATCACAGCGTACGCTTGTCGACGTTAGTGAGACGTTCCTGCCTCCTGGTAATTGGGAACAGTGGGTAAGAAAAGGTCACTTTGTGTGTGTCGGGAGGGTTTGTGTGCGTACCTCTACTTCTACCTTTGTGAGACCGACTTTGAATTCTGGTCACTTTTGCAAAGCAAGGACGTTTCGGCCATTCCTGAGTTCTTCAGGAGGCTATAAAGCAGTGGTTTGATATGCTAGCACCCAAAGGTAATTTCAGTGGATAGTCCAAAGAAAATGAATATCGCTAGTGGAAAGTCACCATATGTACAGAAGTTGGACGTATGCCTGTGTGTGTGCTGGAATATGGAGGGCACCGGTGGAGAAGGAGAAGGTGGGCGGGGTGGGAGATGGGGGGGTGGGGTAAGCGTAGATGGACAGGGAGCACATGTTCCAAGAGATAATTGCATTTCTCTCACCTGTTACCCTTTACAGGCCTTCAAGAGCGCCACAATGAGCTCATACTGGTGTGCTGGAAAGGGCGATGTCATTGATAACTGGTGTCGCTGTGACCTGAGTGCCTTCAGCAAAGATGGCCTGCCTAACTGCAGCCCCCTCAGGCAGCCAATGTAAGTGTGAGGTGACACCATGACACCTAGGAATTCATGCACAAGAGAGGTTTTATGGATGCATGCACCGATGCACTGCGGGGACACTCACATACGCCCGTGGATACGCACGCACGCACGCACATACCTGTCTCTGCTGACTCCTGGGGCACTCGAGAAAGTTGTAGACACAAGCACAGTCCCTGAAGTTCTAATAACTGTCAGTCGGCCCTTACACTCCTCTGAAAAGAACATGCTCTCATTCAAGGTGTCCTAATAATACTCTTGAGGCTTTTGTGAGTCATCCGCCCCAGCGATTGTTGCCTTGAGAACTTTTAAAAAGAAACAGGAAGTTGAAAGGGCAAGAGGATAAAGCTACAATTAAAAAACTTTTCATTTCAGATTGAAAATAAAAATTTGCATATTAGGTAGGTTTAGGCTGTAAATGCTGTCGAATGTGGCATCGGGACAAGAATACAATTTAGTGCAGAGATCTAATGAAACGGCATGCATTATAAACTGCAGCCAAAATCTGTACTTTTGTGCAGACCAAAGACGATGGTGTCAAGTTGACTTATTAGTGTCTTTTTTTCTTTCTTTAAGATACCACAAACAGTTCTATCTATTCTTTGTTTAGCACCTGTTTCTCTGTAATGATTGTACATGGGGAAAAAAGCTTTGTGGGCTAGTGCATGTCATATGATCATGCAATGGACTACTGTCCCTGTGGGCCTGAATATATAGTGTTACAATACATGCTGTTTCCAAGGTCAAGTATAAAAACACTGAACCTTGGCTTTTAAGCCAGAGAAGCCTGCAAAGCACTCAGAAAAAAATGGAAATTCGAGCATCTACAAATCCATTAAAACTGGACAAATCCCGTCTACTGATGGAGATCGTATGATATGATCACAACCTCCAGAACAGCTACTGTATCGACCTTAAGCTGAGATTGTTCCTAATTCTTCAGCATCTGGGACATACGCATTGATACTTGAGGTAGATTACAGATTATGCTGTCCAAGTATTGCACAAGTAGCCTGAGACGCACACACACACACAAACACACACTTTATGCCTGTTTTTTGTATTGTTTTGTTTGTGGATTGTGGTTGTGGAATTGGAGAAGAAGGGCGTGGTGCCACAACCAGAGTTTTGGTTAAGCTCTCCCTGGGTCCATGCCCTGGCACGAAAGGGCCAGTGACGAGTCACTGCAGCAGCCAAATCTCCAACTCTGGCCAGTGTCAGGCACATTAAAACCTGCAGTACTTAATATTATGGTGTATGAAGATGAAACTGAGCAGCACATTTTTTTTTATGAGAGAGGGATAGCCTACCTCTCTCATGCCACTGCCACAGACACAGCTGGAGGGCAGGCAAAATGGAAATGTTGTTCTTTTATCTCTTTTGAGGGATTAAAGAGGAAAAACTGCACAGAGAACACTGCTGGAGAACATGTGGCATCGGAATGCTGCTTTGTTCGAAGTCACTGTTTGCTATCTAGTTGTCGGGTGAGAAAAAAGCAGAAGTGCAGCAGTTTCTACTCCAACACAATAACGACCACATGGGCTTCCTGCTTATCCGTTCTAGACGTAGGTCAATACTTTCAAGCACAGAACACGCAAAATTGTATTTGACAATCCAGATGAGAACAGTTGTGGTAGCCTTTTTTTTTTTTTCTCATTGTTTATACTGCATTTTATTTCCATTTTGTTAAACCTTGTCTTGTCTATGTTGCTCCATTAGTTTGCGTCTAGCCCCTTACCTGGAGCCCTCGAGCACAATGGTGGCCCTGGAGTGGATGGATGTGGAGCCTCTGATCGGCTGCAAAGTTTCTGACTACATCATCCAGCATAAACGAGTGGAGGATCCATCAGAAGCAGAGGTCTACACAGGTAGAGATATTTAAATTACAAGAGTGAGCTCATTTCTATGAAAGTCAATGTTTTTTCTCCTCTGTGCCATAACTAAGTATTATTTATTCCTTTTTTTTGCCTTACTTAATGTCAGTCTCTACACTTAAGCTAAGGCTATTGAGTGTGCACATCTAAGTGGATGGTATACTTAAGTGCATTTCTGTACAAGCGCAGCCATGGGCGTTGTGTGTTTTTGTCGTGCAAGGCAACTGAATGCGTGCTCACCAGGTCTTCTGCGTGGGTTAGCGCATGTGTGTCTTCTTTGTTTGTGTTCGTATACTCTACGTGCAGAAATGGACACTAATGTGGCGTCAACTTTCTACTTGAAAAGAACATGAACACCCAACAATATGGACCTTCTAGCCTTCCAAGTCTGCTAACCTTCATGGACAAAGTAGAAAAGCCTGTACACACAATCAGACAGACTAATCGATACATGCAGGAACATCAGAACTGAGATTCTATATCCATGCAGCCACAGACAGCAGATACATCAGTAACTGTGCTCACATACATGAAGTATCTGCTATGCATGAAGTTACAGACCTTACCTTTGTATTGGGACATTTGAGATCAAATTGAGATGCAGGAAAGCGAATTACATCAGGTAATGTATTGCTGGGAAATCAATGATGCACCGTGCTTAAGGTCAAGATGAACTCATAAAGTTCTTTTCAAAATGGTGAGGAGGAGGAGGAGACGACAACAATAAAGAGAGCAAAAAGGATAGTTGCCATCAACAAATAAAAGAGTAAAGATCTTTAAAAAGTTGATGTGAATACTCAGAATGAGAAGAGTTGAAATCGAGGCTAAAGTTTTGGCTACAGAACAGAAGCAGGAACTTAGATTGAGGATGGGAGAAGATGACGTAGGGCAATTTGTCAGGCACCATAAATGGTGCCGACCATTGTGCTGTAGGGCTAGGGAAATGGTCATGGTTGTGACGAGAGGCTGGGGTGAGTCAGAGGAAAAGGGTAAGATTTAATAATATTGGAGAAATGAGGTGGTCTGGAAGAAGCTGGCTTTAGACATTGGGAAGTATGGACGGGCCATCCATCACCCCTGGGAGGAGTGCTGATGAAGCGTGGGCACCAGTGAGCAAAGAGAGGGTACAGGCAGCTAGACACAGGCATGCTGGCAGAGGTGAGGTAGGAAGGGGCAGATGGTGTGGGTGACTCACTTTGCTATGTGCCAGTCACCACTATAAATCATGTTGTAACAGAGAGTATAATGCAGATTAAAAGTCATTGTCTTCATCTTTTGTCTTTTGCTTCTCCTGTTATGTCTGTCATTCTGGATCTGTAATCGTTAACCTGTTTTGGTTACTCTCTCTGCACGTTCGTTGAGTATCTGCGAAGTCAAAACTAGAACTTTGGTGAAAAACAACGAGTGCGTAGATCTGTGCATTTGCAAATATGACTCTTTCAGGGAGGAGGAGGAGGAGGTAGTGTTAATTGGCAGGTTGAAAGCCTTCAATCAGTGAGAACGTCACCGTATAGGTATGCATCTGGGTCTGGGTGGCTCCCACTTTAACTGCAAATACTAAAAAACTGTAGCTACTCAAAACCTTTATTGTTCTCCAAAACGGTGGCTTGGAAAGGATCGCAGGAGTAGATTTATGAAATAATAGCTGCCTCTTAAAATGACGAGATCTTGTTCTCTGGACTCAGCAAATAAAATGGCATAGTGTTTGAGAAGTATCATTTTCTTACCCTTACTCTGACTTATTTTAAAATTATTGGATTTGTACTCCCTATCCCAACTGCTGGCTTCTTGTTTAAGGGCCTTCTCAGAAGCACTTTCTAGGAAAGGAGAAGTATGCATATTAAAACCAAAGCTAAGATAAATCCAAAGTTCAGTTATGAATTGCGCCCTGTTCGCCGTGTGTATACAAAGTAAGGAACTCCACAGTAGCGTGCTCTCAGGCTCTTCCATTCTTCATAGATGATTTTTTTTTCTCCCTCAGCTCCTCTTGTCTTTCACAGACATATACAAATACACAGATTCCCCTATGGAAGCTGCCAGTGAAACCAGTTCCCTACTGTTGGCCACAGAGAAGCTCAAATGGAGCACTTTGGGCATAAATACTTTGCTCGAGGGCATCTTGGTGGTTTTCTGGAAAGCAAGTGTTACTCCCTCGTTTTTCCCTGTTCATATTTTCCAAGACTGTGTGATGATTTGAACCAGTGAGCTTGTAGTCAAGCCTTCTTCTCCAGCATCTAAGGGTGGGTACACACTAAAGGATTATTCGGCTGAATTACAGTAAAACCATATTTGACAATCTCAGGGAAAAATCCTGATCCAAAGCTTAAGTCAGGGATGATAGTTGGCAGCGTGGACAAGTGTGAGGTGAGATTCAGTTTTCAAGTGTTAAAGAGGGAATATTATGGAAGACAAGACTTTTTACAGTTTCGCAGTAAAATGTGAAGCACAAAGATGTTTCACCAAAGTTTCGATGTGATCGAATTGCATCATTTCAGCACTCCATTGTGAAAGCTAAACCATATGTCCTGAGGAGGTTGAGCAATGTCGGCTAATTACAGGACTATTTTTTTAAATAATTCTTTTTCTAGTCTGTTTCTAAACCGTTTGACGAGCAGAAGAAAATCAATTGTTATATAAAGACATAATACCGCATCAAGTATTGGTATTAATAAATATTTAAACAATGATTTGAGAAGGCCAGTTCAACAAGAGGGACAAAAAAGTACAACTAGCTGTTATCGGAGCGTGCCACTGACGACAGAGGGCAGATGAGACACAGATAAACATGCTGTGGTGCGGAGACTTATGGGACTTTGACCATTGCCAGCATCACCGGTAATAAGTTCAGCACCTGCATCCAGGAGATGGGATTCAGCCGGCGCCGGCATCCACGGAAGCTGAGGCTGCGTTCGCATCCATTGAAAGTTCAAACGCTGCTTCGGGCTTGGTGTCTGAGAGAAGAAGAAAGATAGACAGCCACACACAGACACTCAGCCATGCTGAGTATGAGTCACACACCCAGAGCACACACATTCAGCCATGTGCACACTCATACAGATGGCAGACAGAGAGTGAGTATGGAGATGCAGACACTTGGATGCAGCCCTCAATGGGTTCCCAAAGCCATGTTTGTATGTCAGTGCTGTCTAGACTAGGATAGGAGAAAGGACCGAATCCATCTATTGTTAAGGTCAGTCATACGATAATTAGAATCAAGATGTCCGTAGGTCTCTAATTTCAAGAAGGGGTTGATTCTGTTGCCTTATTTGAAGACATTTTATGTTGCCTGGTGCTATCCCCTTGTTATTATTCTTCCCAAGCAATTTGATTTGACATGGTTCATAGGGCATGAGATCAGGTATGTCTGTGTCCACGTATTTTCAATTTCCAGTTTCCTTTATCTAAAAATCCAGTGTAAGTGACATACAAATGCCCTAATTCAAGCAAGATAACAGATAATGGTTGCGTATGAATGCATCTTTGCTGATTACGTCGATGTCCACCTTGAAAACTCCCCGGCAACATCGGTGAGAGCCATTCACAAATTCCGTCAGCTTAGTCGACATAGGTGGAGGTTTCAACTCAGTCATCGCTCCAGTTATCACCGAAGACGGGTCGTTTCTCTTTTTGAAATGCAGTTTTTCCAAAAGCTGGATGCCAGTTAATAAGCTGATTTGAATGATGTAATGTGCCACCCTTTTGGCTCAGGTTTTTTCATTCGTAACAACTTCCTGCATGAATGGATGCAATCATCGAGTCCTTGAAAAACCTTTACAGGGAATGCTATCTTCTTCAAAGCTAATATCCATAAATGTTGCTTATGTGACTCCCTCTTGCTTGGTAAGGATATTACACCTCTGCTCAGAACTGGTAAAGGGGATCTGTGTTGAGTGGAAATGTCACGTCAAAGTTTGAGTGTGTTGTGTGGAAGTGCCCTATTTAGTTTAAACCCTTCGTCATTATGGTGGGTGGTGTACAGATCAACCATGTTAGCTCACTGCCTGTTTCTAATACTGCCTCGGCCTCTCCCTGCAATTTGTCTTTTCTTTTACTCCATGTTCTCGTCCGATTCTAAACATGAATGCATCCTTATTCTTTACATCAGAAGCTTATTTTATATACTCCCCATGTATGGCGGGACACTTTGCTCGCCTACGTTTGTAGTATTCAAGAAAATAGGTCCTAAAAGTAAGATCAAGGAACAAATTGGGTTTCTTTTTCAATAAAGTTTTAGCATACCTTCCTTTTACCTTACATGCCCTGCAAAACCAGGCACCACCAAATTCCTTTTTTTATATCCTTTCTTGACATTTCTCCCCCGTTCTTTCTCTCTTACCTTGTTTTCGCTCCCCTCTTCTTGCCTCTTTTTGTGTATGAGGAAGCCTTTAAACGGATCAACTTGTTTTTGAAGCATTACCCATTCCGCTCACATCTGTACAAACCATCAGCAACAAGACCCCCATCTCCAATCCCCTCGGCTCGCTCTACTTATCGGTACTGTTTGAAAAAAGCCATCTTTTCTTGAAGGCTTCTCCCTGGTCCCTCACAAATCTCCCCTCTGAGGTCAACAGTAACCGGGAGATAAAGTTGCCGCTTTGATGTGCGCCGAGAGCAGCTGATCCCTCGGTTCGTATATCTTGTTGTTTATATGGACACGATGCTCTACTAGGAGCCCTCGGTGTCCCCACCCCAGCACCACGCAGTCCTGGACGCATGGTTGTAAAGCATTGGAGAGAGAATCATGCATCTGTTATGACACGAAGACTCCCAATTGTCATCCCCCAATTCTGTAGATGTTGGTTTTTGCATTTCTTTGTCAACATGGCTGGATTTCCGTATATCTTTGACGTCTACTGTGTTCTGACGTACACGGTATTTGATTTCTACAGTTGGTAAAGAGGTTTTCTGCTTGTTGGGACACAAGTCAGTATTGGGTACCTCTCCCTTTTATTCTCAAAAGTCTTCCACATAGCAAAGGCTTTCCTCTTACAGAA